ACATTAACCAGTACTATTCCATAGTGACACTTGATGTTTTCCTGTAAATACTTAGTAAAAACCCGCCACATGTGGAAAAAGAAGTCCAGCTGGTTTCTAACGGGTTAAAAACAAACCCAATGGGCGGATATCCGCCCTGAAGGTCCAGCGGTGTTTCCGGTCCGTGTGGAACTTGTTGCCTCGTTTCCGGTCCGAGTAGAATTTGCAGCTGGTTTGAGACGGAGCCGGCCGGCAGCACAGGTTGGGTTGTTGTGGACTGAACAGGTGAATGAACAAATGTTTTCTACCTGAACGTTTTGCGACTAGACACGGAACTATGTTTTAACATGCTAACAGAACAGTTCTTGAGTTAGCTTCGTGCTAACGTCATGTCGGATAGTTTAACCTCATTTCACACAGAGCGGTGTTTGTGTGGAACAGAACCCGTCCCGTCTGGTTCCGAACTGAGGAGTTTGTTACGGAGGTCGGTTACATCAGTAACGGCCATTTTAACAGTCCGCCATGTTGGTCAGGGCACCGGAGCGGTGTTGGAGCTGTTCTGCTCTGAAACTCTTCAACTATAAAAACTAACTTTTATCAGATTAAAGTTTCCTGATGTTTTATTCCTGTAGAGGTTATTTTCTGTAAAACAACCGTCTCAGTGTGTTTGGGTTTATTTACACAACATTTTTATAGATTTTCTACATGTTAAGAGTTATTTTAAATAAACTAAACTTTCTTTTATGTAAAACAACAGCTTACAGAGAAGGTAGAAAATAAAAAGTACAGATTATAATTGATATTGTAAGAGCCAACAATCAGATCTGACCTTGTTTAACCTCTGGTTCTGTTGCAGTCGGACATGTTGGGCTCCAGGTGCATTGTGGGTAATTATCTGCATGTGGGAGGAAGCGTCATGCTGCGTCTTCAAAGGCTTTGTCAAAAGGAAGGCCCTCGGCCGACCCACAACCACTTCCTGTGTCTGAAAGCACGGCCTCCACAGATGACCCAGAAGCGGTTCTTGTCTCAGGGTCCAGACCCGTCCAGCTCACGGGTCTCCATGAACCTGAGGAACCGGATGCTGATCTCCATGCTGGTTGGTGGTGGTCTTCTGGGGGCCTGGTGGTACGTGGACTTGGAGAAGCAGCAGAAGATCCGGACCCAGCGGGTCAAGCAGCTGAAGAAGGCAGCTGTGGGTCAGGGAACCTTCAGTCTTCTGGACCACACGGGCCGGCGCCGGACCAAGCAGGACTTCCTGGGCAGCTGGGTTCTGATCTACTTTGGGTTCACTCATTGTCCCGACATCTGTCCTGACGAGCTGGACAAGCTGTGTGCCGTGGTGTCCGCTCTGGACCAGGACCCCTCACTGCCCCGGGTCCAGCCGCTCTTCATCACCGTGGACCCGGAGCGCGACGACGTGCCGGCGCTGGCCCGCTACGTGAAGGACTTCCACCCCCGTCTGATTGGACTGACGGGAACACCAGAGGAAGTCAAGCATGCGGGACAGGACTACAGGGTCTACGCCAACCATGGACCCAAAGACCAGGATGGAGACTACATTGTGGATCACACCATCCTGGTGTACTTAGTGAGTCCTGACGGGCTCTTTCTGGACTATTACAACAGAATGAAGAACCAGGACCAGATCCAGGACAGTATCAAGAACCACATCAAGAACTATGTCAGACTTTAGAGACCAGAACCAGATCAGGAAGTCCAAATGAAGCCAGATGTTTTTCTCCTCTGTAAATAAAAAACWATCGTTTCTTCTCTTCTTTGATCTGTAAACCCTTTGATCTTTAACTGATCCTTCTCCCATTTTTAGAGTATAAAATAAATACAGAAGCAACATCTGAGTTTTCTTTTTCAATGTGTTTAAAATAAAAATTTGAGCACAAACTACACCTGCTGTGTTGAGGTGTTTGTTATAGCGCCCCCTTTAGTTCTGGAGGTCATTGTGTCATTACCAAATATGGTATGAGACTGACACGCCCCTTCCTGCCTTCAGTGGCTCCTCCCCCTCACAGCTGAACTGAGGAGGTACACTTGGCTGCAGCATGCAGAACGGGGCGGGGACAGACCTTTCCGTCAGTCCCATACCTTATATGGAAATGGGATTATTGCATTCCGGAAATGAAGGTTGCTCCTTAAAGACGCGGGATTAAGAGAGCAAAGGAAGAAGAAAGGAAGAAGTTAGAGAGTTTCTTCTACTCACGTTGAAGTACTCAGAGCATTATTTATTAATTTCTTTTATCCACCTCCCCAAACACAGACCCTCAGGTTAACCTCACATGTTTAATGCCTAAGGTTAACCTCACAGGCCTAATGCCTAAGGTTAGTT